TATTATTTATCAGCAAGTTATGAGTTTTTAAATACCACCTCACAAAACATGTCTTGTGCAAAAATTATTACAATGTGTAGAGGGTGTGAACACACCAGTATATTCCGTCACAGGACTTATTTATGGAAGAGGAGAGCAAGTGGGAAAGGGAGCAGTAAGGCTCATTTTCTTTCTCTGCTTTCTTTTGTCCTAAACTGCTAGAGATTTGCTTTATGCTTCATTGCAGTGTAGAACTACTTGATTGATTAAAAATGCATTAAAATGCATGGCAGAGAGTGTAGTTAATAAGTCTTCCGTTTGTTCTATGTGAGGAATGAGCTGAAGATGGCCTTCACCATCACTACATTGCAGATATTTATAACAAGGGCCCCTGTATTCCATGACAACATACATTACACCCCTTGCTGCAGAATTCTGCTCCAGAATCTCCTTTTTTATTTTAAAAAAATTGTTTCTAACCCTAATTGTTGCAGAGAGCCTTAAAAACATGAGCTGGCTGTAGCTACTGCAGTGCTGTTTTCCTGATTCTGCAGCCAGCCTGAAGCTATCTTTGAGAGTGTTGCAAACTTTCCCATTACCCCACTGAAGGGTTAGCTCTGAAACCTAATGATGCCAACATAAGGTGAGCACTGTTAACTTTTTCTGTACTGATTGTTTTTGCAGAAAGCACACAACTAATGTGCTTATCTCATAATCCCAAACTGCCTCCTCTGCCAAAAGCTCCAATTTTCTTTATGCTGCAGCCCAATCTCCCATCACTCCCAATGAGTTTCATTGCATGGCAGAAGTTAATACAAAGCTCTGCAGAACACTGAAAATTTAAAATGTGAGGATGGCTTAAAATAAATATAATTTAATATCAAAGAAAGTAACATGGGGAATGCTGCACTGATGGTATTAGCATTTTCGTACTGAATTCCATAAAAAATTCCATTTTTAATATTTAAATGAAGCTGCCACAGAATTTCCAGCTGCCATGCTCAATGCTATAGAAACCTTGGTCTTTGGGGGCAGAATTTGGGTACATGGGATCGTCTTTATAACATAATTCCTAGGACTTGCTTTTAGAACTCTTTAAATGAGGCTCTGAGCTGGCCCATTGGCTTGGTGTAACACAACCATGCAGGAGGTGCAGATTTGATTCCAGGTCCTGGTCTTTTGCTCCCAAGCTCAACGGCTAAGACTGTTAGAGGCCGGGTTCATATCCTGTTGGAATGAATGGAAAAAGACTCCCTTTAACTTCAGTGGGAGTTGGATTGGGTCCCTCGTGAAGGGACTGCTCCCCATAGTTTGATAGTGATCCTTGAGTTAGCCTACCTGAGGAGCGGTATTGATTGGCTCTGCAGAGAATATTCCTCAGCCAGAAAGATGGTCATCACAACATTAAGAGGAAGGTTACATTGGAATCAGGGAGAGGGGGTAACCTCTGAGCACTGCAGAATATGGGAATGTTGTGTGTCATTCTGTATATAGCCTGCAGGTTCTTGTAGTGGGATAGCTTTAAAATGGGCTCCAGTTTGTCTGATCAGACTGAAACTGTGCTGTCTTTGCTCCCTTGTTCAAACAGAGAAGCCCTGATACAAATGTCAGAGCTAGTGTGAGCAGATAGCAAGTGTAAAAGATCAGGACAAGGGGTGGGGGGTAATAGGAGCCTATATAAGAAAAAGCCCCCAAAATCGGGACTGTCCCTATAAAATCGGGACATCTGGTCACCCTAGTCCAGGGGTCGGCAACCTTTCAGAAGCGGTGTGCCGAGTCTTCATTTATTCACTCTGATTTAAGGTTTCACGTGCCAGTAATACATTTTAACGTTTTTAGAAGGTCTCTTTCTAAAGTCTATAATATATAAGTAAACTATTGTTGTATGTAAAGTAAATAAGGTTTTTAAAATGTTTAAGAAGCTTCATTTAAAATTAAATTAAAATGCAGAGCCCCCCGGACCGGTGGCCAGGACCCAGGCAGTGTGTGTGCCACTGAAAATCAGCTCGCGTGCCGCCTTCGGCACGCATGCCATAGGTTGCCTACCCCTGCCCTAGTCATAGCAGAGTCAGACCACTCATACAGTCTGTCCCCAGAAGAGGTCCTAGAGCAATTAACAGGAGTTCAGCTAATGGCTTCATAGCCTGGACCTCGGCTAGTTCCTCCCCTCCCCCCAATCCTGGTTCCTTCTTGTTTTTAATTGACTTGCATGTGCATGACCCTTGGGTAAGTGCTGATATCAGTAAGCAGAGTGGCTTGCAGCTAACTTTGCAATCCATGTGACTGCCGTTTCCGTTAGTTCCTTCCGCAAGATCTAAATTAACCTGATGCTAAGTGAGAGGAAGAAAGAAAAGAAAAAAAAGGGCTGCAGCTAACGTTGCCTTTTGTGAAGCAGCTGAGAGAGAGCAGGAGGGCGGCTGTGTGCAGCATGAGTGCCCGCGATCTGTGCACGCTGCCCCGACCGGTGAGTAACCCCCAAAACTGGGCTCTGCGCTTCGCCCTGTCCGAGATAAAGTTCAGGGGTGGGTGCAGGGGAGGGCAACGGTCAGAAAGAAACTCCCAGGTGGGTGGTCGGTCGTTACGACAGCCATGGCACCCACGGTTTACTGCGTGTGTGCGTCTGAGCTCTGGGAGCGTGGAGCGTTTCCAAGCATTGTATGCGGCGATGTGCTGCCTGCGTGCAGAAAACTCTTTCTAGAGCGCAGTGTCCTCAGTGGTGATCAGGACTGTGCCAGCGTCGGGGAGGCAACGCCCTGAAGTTCGCTCTCTCTCATGGTCTCCCTTTGGAACGCTCACCACCACCCGTGTTTGCTGCACTTTGGCCCCCATCCCAACAGGGCAAGCCGGGAGAGAGATGGAGGGAAGACAGTTAATGCTGGGCAGACAGCTTGGGAGAGGGCAAACACGTCGGCTGCGGGAGAAAGGCTGAGTCAGAAAAGAGAACCCCCTGAAAAGGGAAAGAGTTTGAGGTTAAAATGCATTGAAACGTTTGATAAAGGTGAAATACGGTAGAAAAATCAGTGTGAAGGAAACAAGGACGCTGGAAAAGGCTGAAATAAAGATGCATCAAGGTTGGTCTGTTTTAGGTTTCAATACCGCATCTGTTCCGGTGGTTATTTCTGCACCGCTCGAGGCATGGAGGGCCAGATCCTCAATTGCTGCAAATGGCTTCAGTGGAGCTATACTGAGCTACACCAGCTGAGGATCTGTCCCAGAGGAAATATAGAAAGAAGAGTGGGGAACCCCCAGGGAGACGCAGTAAGCGATCTCTTTGATAAGACATTGGCTTTATACTGTTTGAATCTGTGATTTAGTGGTGGTTTGGCTGGTGGTAAAAACAAAAATTAAAAAAAATCTGAAAATTGCCCCAGGTGTGCCCAAGACTCTAGATCTAGCCACTTCAGCTGCCAGAAAGACTCTTCCATTTCTTTAGTTCACAGGTTTGAAAACACTGCTCATAGAGTGCGAATTGTGAGTAGTGTAATCAAGGTCTCCCGGCATGGTTGCCTTAGGTTTATCATTCTCCTGCGTGCAAATGTTATAAACTCTGATGCCATAAATTGCCATTATTATCTGATTTCACTTGATGGAAAAGCAGCAAGTTCCATTGGTCTCCATCACTGGAACCTTAATTTAGGACTGGATCTTCAGGGGAGTTCAGGGCTTGGTTTCTGTTGGAGTTGTGGGTGCTCAGCATGGCTAAAAAATCAAACCCCTTGTTTGCTGGTAAGACACATAAAGAGAACACTTAATGCATGGGATTTGCAACTTATAATATAGAGGGAAACTTCTTTATGAAACATGTCAGTTAATCGATGTGGGCAAATAGCTATTCAATTAGATGCTGATGTTCCTTTAAAAAGGATTTTCACATCCTAGCATTAAAATGTAGCATATTTCTACACACATTGTCTACTCCTCTATTAAACTGTGTATGAATTTGTGTTCTGTATATTACACCAGTGCCAACAGCCCCAGCTGAGCTCAGGGTCCCGTTGTGCTTGGTGCTGCACAGACACACAGTGAGAAACTGTCCCTGCTCCAAAGACTTCAACCTCAGATCCTCAAAGGCATTTAGGCTCCTTACTTCAGTTGATTTCAGTGGGAGTTAGGTGCCTAAATACTGTTGATTATCATGTTAATAGGTGTGATAGACAAAGGGTGGGAAAGGAAACAGAGTCACAGAGAGGTAAAATGACTTGCCCCAGGTCACAGGCCCTGAGTCCCAGTAGAGTGCCCTAGCCACTGGATCTCAGTGTAAATGAGTGTGAGGTTACCTCTCTATTAGCATTAGAGAGCCTCCTGAGTGGCTTAGAATTGGACTACAGAACCACAACATTAACCTGCCCTATTCTTACCCCAGGGTCTGGACTGTGCAACAGAGCCCATCTTGTTGCAATAAACTTCAGAGTAATTGATAAAGTTGGGGCCAGAAGATGCCTCCAGTGCAGGTTTTCCTGTATAGGACTCAAACTCCAAGGGACCACTTCCCCAGTGCATTGGAACAGCACTGGACACACTGGGAAAGGGGGGGACACAAGTGGCTTCACTCCCTAGCTGGAGCCTGGGGCAGAGTTTGCCCCCCAGAGGCATGTTATGCTGTCTTGTAATAGCCCTCTAGGAACTGTTAAGTCAACTGAGAGCCACTGAAGCCCAATGTGCTCCACCCACATCTCCAGTGTCATCCCTATGCCATGGTGCAAAGGGTGCTCCAGTGGGGCATTAGTCCCACACTGTATAGCTAGGCCTGGTAAGGGCAGTGGATCCAACACCACAGTGTGAGGGAAGTGCTGCCGAGAAAATGTTTAGAGCCCAAGTCTGATCTTGGGCTGACAGAGGACCTAAAATCCTGGGTCCGTGTAAGAAGGTTTGGGAGGCAGAGATTGTCTTGTCTTATGTTTCCTGGGAAATCCTTTGGTGTGCCAAAAAATAATCATGAATGAAGGGGAAAAAAGCAGAGCAGATCTTTCAAATGTGTCTTTATCTTTGGTTTCTCTCTTTGCAGGACCGTTGCTGTTGAGATGGAGTCAGTGTTTCTCAGTCTCTCCCTGAGTCTAGTCTTTATAGTAGCAGGATGGGGAAACAAGACTGGAATGGCCCTGGCAACGTATCACAGGACCTGCAAACTAGTGAGTCCTCTTATGCAAACCTGTGAACTTGTTAATTGTTCACTTCTCGTTGCACACTGCCTTGAGAAAAGCAGGTGTATACTCTGAGTATGTACTCTAGAGGCACTGGCAGTGACTGCTCAGTGTAGGCCCTATTCCATTGTTTTCATTCTAGCCTATGACTTTCACCATCAGGCTGCATTTTCCAGACTTGATCTCAGCCCAAAGTTCTTGCGTTTTTTTTAAATGTGAGCAAAACCTCGTTTGCCATTTTTGAATATGAGACAAGAGGCTTATATGGTGCACAGTGAATGAAGCAGGGCATCTCGTGGAGTTGATTGATCAAGTGGAATAGGCATTGTAATGGTGTCGAGATAAATATTGCCATAGGAACAGCATTTATTCACTTTGTCTTTGAAATCAATAAAAATATGGAAATGAGGTGGGGAGGGACGTGATGCCAAATGAAGAAGCTGGGTAGGCTAGAGATTGTGATTCACAAATAGGAGGGGCGGGGGGAGTTTGGAAATACTGTGTGTACTCTCAAAAGTGGCCACTGATTTCTAGGTGCCTCAGTTTTGGGGTAACTTCTGGTATCTTGGGCCTGATTTTCAGAGGTGCTGAGCAGCTGCAGCTCCCTGTCTGGAAATGATGCTTATTTGCTGATCAGTGAAGTGTGCTTGAGGCTATACGGCAAGCAGAGGAAGATGCCCCAGGAGCTTTTACGCTAAGGGATAGATTTTCAAGTGCTCAACATCAACAGTTGGGGCCAGATTTGTAAAAGAGCTCAGCTGCACCCAACATACTGACCAATGTGCAGAGCTCTGCAGAAAATTTGACCACTTACTTAGGTAAATAGAACTCAGGGCCACCCAGAGGATTCAGGGGGCCTGGGGCAAAGCAATTTCGGGGGCCCCTTCCATAAAAAAAAGTTGCAATACTATAGTAACATGTATTTGGAAATGTAAAAACTAACTAGTGAAATACATTCAAAAATTAATTTTTAATCATTCGAAAATACACAAAATACATTATTTAAAAACATTAAATGCTTTAATGGTATGTATACATTTGCAATTACATAATGGGCTGTCGCTGGGTGATGATGATGGTTGGTGCCAATGGGCTGTCACTGCCTGGGGGTGGCGCTGCTGTTGCCCAGGGCTGGGTGGGGAGCTGGGCTCTGGGTCGGGGGGTGCCCGGCTCAGAGGGGCTGGGCTCGGAGCTGGGGGTCAGGGCTGTGGGGGGATGGGGTCAGGGGGTGCCCAGCTCAAAGGGGCTGGGCTTGGAGCTGGGGGTCAGGGCTGTGGGGCCTGGGCTTGGGGGGTGCCTGGCTCAAAGGGGCTGGGCTCAGAGCTGGGGGTCAGGGCTGTGGGGGGCTGGGCTCGGGGGGTGTCTGGTTCAGAGGGGCTGGACTAGGAGCTAGGGGTCAGGGCTGTGGAGGGATGGGGTCGGGGGGTGCCCACCTCAGAGGGGCTGGGCTCGGAGCTGGGGGTCAGGGCTGGGGGGAGATGGGGTCGGGGGGTGCCCGGCTCAGGGGGCTGGGCTCGGAGCTAGGGGTCAGGGCTGGGGGGGTGCCCAGCTCAGAGGGGCTTACCATGCCGCTAACCCCCGTCTCAGCGAGCCGCGTCCAGGAGCTCCTGCCGCTCGGCCCGCCGGAGCTCGCCGCCCCGCCCAGGGCCAGTGCCACCTTGCGCCCCCC